AAATTCAAGCCAATATAGTTGCTTTGGTAATTTAGGCTCATTTTTGCTTGCCTATGAATTGTAAGGTTGACTTTGTAGTTCTCTGAAGGATGTCATTGGTATTTTGATGAGATTTATGTTGAATTCTAGATCACTTTTGCTCAACAGTATTTTATACAGTGCTATTTCATCCAATGCATGAACAAGGGGAGGCCTTCCTCTTGCTTTCTCCTGTGGGGGCTCATTAACTTTTTGTATCAGTGTGTTTTTTCTTTGAGGAAGTCTTCACTTTATACTTAAATTTATTCCTAGATATTTAATTTTGTATTTGTAGCTGAAGAGAATTACTTTTGTTTCTTTCTCAGTAAATTCATTATTAGTGTATGGAAAGACTACTGATTTTTATATTTTAATATGCTGCTACTTTACTGAATTTATCAGTTATAACAGTCTTTCAGTAGAGCCTAGCACATTCTATACATAAGAGCACGTCATCTGTCAACGGGCATCCTTAACTTTTCTTCTAATTTGTGTGCTATTTGTTTGTTTCTCTTGCTTAATTGCTAATACTCTAATTTATATTGGATAACATCAATAAAAGTAGATACCTTTGTTTTGTTATTGGTCTTAAAATGTTTTCAGATTTTTCTCATTCGGTATGATCTATGTGTGGATTTGTCATATGTAGTCTTTACTATGTTGAGGTAAGACCCTTCTATACCTATTTTATTCAAGATTTTTATTATAAAAAGATGTTGAATTTTATCACATGCTTTTTCACCAATTGAGATTATCCTATGAATTTTAATCCTTCCCTTTGCTTAGATATTCTTTACTGATTTGTGCATGTTGAAACATCCTTATATTAGGATGAAAAGAACTTTGACCATAGTAAATGATCTTTTTGATATGCTGTTGAATCTTTTTTTTTGACTTTTTAAAACAATTTAGGGTCAGGGAGATAGCTCAGTGGAATGAGTGCTTGCCTGGCAAGCGCAAGGTCCTGAGTTCGATCCCTGGTACCACCAAAGAAATACTAAACTAAAAAAAATAATTTTATTTAATTTTGAAGAGTAAAAACAAAAGCAAAAATGAATAGCAGAAACAAAGACAGAAACAGGGTAACATATAGCAATATGTTACAGATTTCAGAACAAGAACAGCTAATTAACAATGGTCACTCTATTATCCATTTTTATCATGAAATCTGTTGCTTAGATTAACGAATACAGTTATGCAAGATTGAACAAATAATTTTTTTGCCAATTAACAAATATTTATTTCAATTGTTTCTGAAAAAACACATTTTCATTTTTTTTCAGGGTGGGATATGTTTGCTCAAATGCTTCCATAGCTCAGACAGTCAAAGTATGAACAAATAATTGAAAATTACTGGTTGCTTTCAAGAAAACTTAATTTACTTTCTTGTCTTTGTTCTTTTTATTTTTTAAAAATATTTTTAGGGGCCGGGGAGCTGACTCAGTGGAATAAGCGCTTCCCTGGCAAGCGCAAGGACCTGAGTTCAATCCCCGGTTCCACAAAAAAAAAAAAAAAAAAAAAAAATTAATGGGAGTATAATAATAACTCATAAGACATTAGAATTGGTACATAGTTAGAAGACCAAGATGAGAGGTATTCAAGCATCACTTTTGTTTTATACTTTCCTGACCTTGATGTAGTTGCTTAGATCATAGATATCAGCATACAGAGTGAATCAAGATGAAATTTCTAAACATTATCTGCTATTAAAAA